GTAAAAAAACCTTTTCTTTGGCTTAGATGAAATCTCCTTTCTTCCAGCCTAAATGTGTTACCTCATGTCCTATGTATAGCCCTGTTTATGAATAGAGTTCCAGATAAGGGTTTGTACTGGCCCCGAATATATTTGTATAAAGTTATCATATCCCCAAACTAAACAGATTTAATTTTTTAAACCTTTCTTCATAACTAAAATTTTCCTTTCCTTTTATCAATTTTGTAGCTTGTCTCTGGACCCTCCCCAGTGCCATGATATCCTTCTTTAGAACAGGCGCCCAAAATTGCACAGAATATTCAAGGTGTGGTCTTACCAGCGATTTATAAAGAGGCAAAATTATATTTTCATCCCAAGAATTTATGCCCCTATTTATACATGACAAAATCTTAGTGGCCTTAGCTACGGCAGATTGACATTGCATATTGCTGCCTAATTTGTTGTCTATAACAATTCCCAAATCCTTCTCGTGTGTGGTTATCCCTAATTCACTACCATTTAGTGTGTAAGTTGCTTGTGCATTCTTAACCCTGAAGTGCATAACTTTGCATTTTTCTATGTTAAATTTCATCTGACATTTTAGTGACCAGTCCCCCAATCTATCCAAATCTCTCTGCAGCAAAGCAATATCCTGCTCACATTTTATTACTTTACAAAGTTTTGTGTCATCTGCAAACACTGATACATGCCTTTCAATGCCTATTTCAAGATCATTTATAAATATGTTAAATAGAAGTGGTCCCAAAACAGAACCCTGAGGGACACCACTTATCACTTTTGTCCAGCCTGAAAATTTACCATTAATTACAACTCGCTGTACTCTATCCTTAAGCCAATGTTCTACCCAAGAACAAGAATATTCATCTAGACCAATTTCTTTTAGTTTGAAGACTAACCTATTGTGAGGAACCGTATCAAATGCCTTGGCAAAATCCAAGTAGATCACATCCACTGCAACACCCTGATCTATACTTCTACTTACTTCTTTGTAGAATGCAATTAGGTTAGTTTGACATGACCTATGTTTCATAAAACCATGCAGATTATTGTTAATAACAAAGTTCTTCCCAATGAATTCCTGAATATTATCCCTTAATAGCCCTTCAAATATTTTCCCAGTTACAGAAGTTAAGCTCACAGGTCTATAATTTCCAGGCAAGGATTTTGAACCCTTTTAAAATATAGGAACAACATCTGCCTTCCTCCAATCCTCCGGTACAACACCTGAAACAAAAGAATCTTGAAATCATTCTAACCCTAAAGATCTAGAATTTATGGCAATATAGAGAATTTCTACCCATTGGAGGGGTGGAAATAAGGCATTAAATCTTAGTAAAAAAGAGAGTTCCTGGATTTTTCATTTACAAACGTTATTTCCAAAAGGTTTAAATATTGATTTTGATATTGGACCCATTTTATAAATATTTTTAATATTTTATCTAATGTTTTTTTATAATGTATCTTTGCAGTTCCTCATTATATTTCTTAATATTGATTATATTAAATATGTTTTAATTATTTTTTTTGTAAATTTCTTTTATTCAAAGAATTTCCATTTTATGCATAAACAGTATCGCGGACACGCAGGTCCAATAAAGGCTTTTTCATTTTATGTCTCAGACATGAGATAGTTATAGTGAACAACCATGGTGACATGCAAGTCATCAAATAGTCTTAAGAAACATTCTAGTAAGACTCGTAGGTCCTAAAAACCTTTGTGTGGATAGGGCTTTCCCTCTAGCGTACGGTTGTTATGGCTATGCTAGGCCACCTAGTGTGACAGAGGTGGTTTGTGTCCTGTGCCAAGACAGGTAGCGTGTAGTGACTAACCGTATGGGGGAGAAACAGGATTTTGTGCGTGCCTTGCGAGTTCAAGTCTAGGATTTTTGGTGTCGGTGGAGTGGACCCCTGTTAATCTGGCTGGAGCGGAGGTGGTTTGTACTGTCTTAATCCTGTCTGCTCACTGACTCCCGCGTTTGACGTGGGTGCGAGGTCAAGCTTGTTTCTCCTTATCTTATCCTTAACCGTGAACCCCTGTCTCTTTTCCTGTTTTCCCTTCTTATTCTCTTTTCTCCTTCCTTCTTTTCTCCCTTACACCTTCCCTTTCTTTTCCCTCCTTTCTTTTTCTCTCTTTTTACTCTTGTCTCTCCCCTTCCTGTTCTTTTTCTTTCCCCCTTTGCTACCCTTATCTTTTCCCTCTCTTCCTTTCTTTGTTTAGAGGGTGCCCGTCCGTCCGGAGCCTCTACGTCCTATCAACTTCTGTGTCGCCTTCCCGCCCGCGGGTTCCCCCAGGGGGGATGTGTGAGGGGGGGAGGGGGGTAGGAGGGGAGAAGAGGGGGAAGGGGTGTTTAATTTATTATAATGTTGTTTCTGGTATTTTTTTCTGTTTGTTTGTGTAGTTGCTCTCTCAGTCAAGGTAGTCTTTTGTCCCGTCAGGTGTCTTCAGTCAAGTCAACAGATCCTGGAAGTCAGCGTTAGTCGAGGTCAGTATCCAGTGTGTCCAGACCGTCATGTATGTCTGGGTCCTCCCTTCTGCCAGCAGGGAGAGCTCTTCCAGTGCTCTCAGCTCCTCCATTCTTTGGTACCACGTCCCTAACGGAGGCGCGCATTGTTTTTTCCAATAGAGGGGGATTAGGCTTTTGGCTACATTAAGTATCCGTATAGTTAAGGATTTTTTATATGTCGATGCTTTTGTCTTGGTGTGATGGATGAGGAATGTTGCGGGGTTCATGGGTGGTGGGGAGTCTGTGAATCTTTTTATGATTGTGTGAATGGCTGACCAATATGGTTGGATGATTGGGCATTCCCACCATATGTGGAGGTATGTTCCCTTGCGTGTGTTGCACCTCCAGCATACGTCGTCCTTCGTGGGGTCGTATAGGTGTGTGTGGAGTGGGGTGCGGTACCAAAGGGCCAGTATTTTGTATGCTGTTTCTTGCGTTCCACTGGATGGTGCGCAGTGTAGTGAGAGGGTGCATATTTTGTCCCATTGGTTGGGTGTGAATGTGGTGCCTAAAACTGTTTCCTATTTCCCCATGAAGCTTGGGGGTGGTAGCCTCCTCAACCGCATGATCATTCCATACAGCATTGATAGGCCCCTCGGCAGCAGGTCCGGGTCCATGCATCTCTTCAAACGTTGTTAAGGGTCTGAGGGTGTGATTGTTTCGGGTGGTTTCTTGTATAAGCCCTTTCAGTTGTCGGTATCTGAATTGGAGCATAAATGGGTGATTGGAGTTCCCGGTCATGGCCTCCAGTGATTTGAGGCGGCCGTCGTCTATGGCGTGGAAGAGCCTCGGTATGTCTTGTCCCAACAGCTGGACCAACGTTCTTGGTTCCCTTCCTGGTGGGAAGACCTCATTATGGACTAGGGGCATCATTGGGGATGGTGTAGAGGTGAGCGAGAGTGGTACTGCCAGAGCTTGCCAAACCCGCACGGTCGCTTTGATTAGGGGGTGTGGAGCAGCTAGCTGTCTGCTTTGTTGGGGGTCTAGCCAGGGGAGGACTGCCATCGGTCTCTCCACCAGAGAAGACTCTACATCCTTCCAGAGTTTCTCCACTCCCCGCTTAGACCACTCCACTATCCTTTGGATGTGTGTGGCTCTATGGTATTTCTTAAAGTCTGGCAGAGCTAGGCCTCCCTTGGCTTTCGGTAGTGTGAGGTTTTAATTATTTTTATGTTGTATATGTGCTTTCCTATTTTGGATTTTTTTAATATTAGTTTTAATATATGCTGTATTCTTTTGTTTTTTTATGATTATATTGCAATTTGCTCCGTTTTTGTCTTTTATAATATCGCATTAATCCTATTTATCTCTTATTTCCTTGCCCTCTCTTGCCTTGTCTTTTCCCATTACCAATATGGCAGATTATGAGCTTTTTGGACCAATTAGGACGTATTAACTACGCTCTCTTGATTGAAACTAACTATGATGATGGTGTACCGCCCCTTTCTTTCCAAACGGACACTAACCGGAAGTGACGTTATGACGCAAACCGGAAGTGACGTTCCGTTGAAATGACGGAAGTCACGGGATCGCCACTGGCGTCTTGTCCGTGCGGTCATTATGAGGAGGTCGGTTCCCTGTGGATATCAGTAAGGATACATCACATATCCACCATATTGGAGGAGGAATGATACAAACGGAACTACCATATATGGATATGTTGGGAGGGTTTTTTTGGTAATTATTTGCATGTGTTTTGTATTTTCACTTTGTTTGTATTGTATTCAAACCTGTTATTTGCATTTGATTTTATTGCACCTGAGGAAGACCAGTGTATTGGTCGAAACACGCTGTGCTAGTACTTTTTATGTTTACCTTCATTTAATAAAGAGCTATCTTAGCTATCCTTGGTTCCTGAACTTCTATCCAGGCAGAGTTAAAGCTTTTTTTTCCTGGGGGACCACCATCATTCCGGCTATTTGTCGTATTGGAACTACCTACATGCTACTACAGTAGAGAGCCGACTTATATGGCTCTCAAAATTGTGAGTGCTTCCAGTTACACTTATATTTGATTATTTTCAGAAACATTGTTTAGTTTATCCTTTTCAAGCCATTAAAAGGTAATTTTTTTTTTTACACATTCCTATCCAGGCAAACAATTTTGCACAAGGAGCTTCTACAAAGGGCCACCATCAGAGGGTGACAACCATGATGGTAGTCACAGGCCTGGTGGTCCTGAGGGAACTGGTCATCTGGTCGCCCCATTCCCAATGTGCACATATATTGTTTATCTCACCGGGCCCTGGGTCTGTTGAGTGGTTCATGCACTTAGGGTCACCCTATGGGCATATATCTCAAGGGGCTCATTCAGTGCTGAAAATCTCTTATAGTGCAACCGGGCCCCTTTAACAATCCTGACAGTGCTGGTAGGAATGGTAGGGTGTGGAACTGCACTCTGTCCCTTTAAGTAGTATGTAGCTGGGTGCAACTTGGACCAAATACTGAGTAACAAAATAGAAGAATGGTCCAGGCACTCCAAGGTACAAACCAGGCAATTTATTGAACCCACTCCATCACAACATTTCGACCTACATGGTCTTTGTCAAAGACCGTGTAGGTCAAAACTTTGTGATGGAGTGGGTTCAATAAATTGCCTGGTTTGTAGCTTGGAGTGCCTGGACCTTTCTTCTATTTTGTTACAGTGCTGGTAGGAAGTCAGCTCTGCTCTGCTCACTTCCTCCCAGCTCAAACACGCGTGGGAGTGTGGACGCACAGGGGAGGCAAAGCCGAAAAGGGAAGAACCAGACCCACATCAGCCCCAGCCAGCAGGAGGGTGACTAAAACATTAGTGTGTCAGTGTGTCTGTTTCTATGTGTACCTGAGTGTATGTGTAAATATGTGTGTATGTATGAGTATCTGTCAGTGTTAGTATCTGTATGTCTGTTTGTATCTGTGTGTCAATGTGCCCCTGAGTGTATGTGTGTATATGTCAGTGTGTGCATCTGTCTGTATCTGTGTTTCAGTGTGCACCTGAATGTATGTGTGTGTATCTGTGTGACTGTGTATTATGTTTGTGTGTCTATGAATCCGTATGTGTGCATGTATGTGTATCATAGTGTGTGTGTGTATCTGTGTGTCTGTGTGCACCTGAGTGTATGTGTGTGTATCTGTCTGTTTGTATATCTGTATATGTAACTATGTGTCAGTGTGTGCATCTGTATGTGTGTGTGTATCTCTGTGTGTCCCAGTGTGTCTGTTTTTTTAGTTGTATGTCTGTGCGCGTATCATTGTGTGTGGCAGTGTATATACTACACACAAATGCACGCCTGCATTAAAACACCAACATTCACATACACACATAAACATGCTTATATTCAAACACACAAACACTTCTCGGTGCTAAATACAACCCTGCAAGGATGGGCAGATTGTAGATCCTCAGCTGTCAAAGCATTCTGGGACTTATATGACATCAGAGTTTGCAGGAATCTATGATCTGCAAACTTTCTTTGTCTTAGGGATGAGCATAACCACCTAGCAAAGCTAGTGGGTATGCGGCAGCCTCCCGGAGTCATATGCCAGAGCTGAAAAGGCTTGCGCTGTGCATCTGCACAGCAACAGTCTTTCAGCCAATCAGGTAATCTGGAGAGCCGTGCTGAGCGCGGGAATCCTGATTGCCTCTGATTTTTAAAATTGGGAAACTGCGGATGGTTAGCACATCCCATGAAGTACTAAGGAAAAATATTGCCCAAAGTGTATAGGAATATAATTAAACATCTACATACAAAATAAAACAATTCAAGTTGCCAATAGTACAGGGGAAGTCATGAAGACATATAAGATAGACTTGGAACTTTGTATAAAACAGCTGAGCTGAAAACAAGGCAACAATGTATAGCAAAGGAAAGTATCAAATGAACACTGGAACCATTCATCATAAATTGCAACAAAATAAGTTCAATAAAGAGAAAAGAAATGTTGTAACAAGTCCCAGCAAACAGATTCCATATGCAGGGAATCCATAAGAATATCAAACTGACGAGACTACTAGCATTCAATCCTCCTTCTTAGGTGGATCCTTGCTTTGTTGGTCTTGTCTTGGAGTACGGCTATAGTCTGTAAAAAACAAAACAGAGAACAGTAATCAAACGGCTGAATAAGCACCAGATAACCATATGTTTTAGAAAAACAAACTACCACCAGCAGACAAAACCCTTAACTTAGAGGAGGGTGGGATGGGCGCTATTGCTAGGTGGTTATGCTCATCCCTAAGACAAAGAAAGTTTGCAGATCATAGATTCCTGCAAACTCTGATTTGTCCTCCGGGAGGCATAATCACCTAGCAAAGCTAGTGGGTAGAATAGCACACACCTGGTGGTGGTCCTAAGAAACTGAAGGCGTTCAACTTCTGATGACCTCCAGTAAAATCTAACAAAGGTTTTACTGGACAACCATCTTGCAGCTTTCAAGATAGTAGGGAGAGGAAGGCCCTTTCCTGCTGCTTTAGTAGCCGAGGCTCCCCTAATTGAATGGCTTTTGAACACGGAAACATCAATACCAGCCGAAGACATGACGGAAAGTATCCAGCCTCTAATCGTATTAACCTTGGCTGGACGAAAGGGATTCCTTGATATAATGAATAATTGACTGATATCATTTCTAAATACAGCAGAAAGTTGAAGGTACGATTGTAACAAACTGACTAAACATAAGCCTGGTTCGGAAGGATCTTGGACCAAGTCCAATTCTACCGGACCGGAAGAAAAATGGGATTTTTTTTGTCTGCCTTTTAGTATAATATGGAAACCTCCATGGGTCCTGGACAACCAAGGATCGGAAATATGGATTTGAGCTAACTCGGCTCCTCTAGCTGCCAGGGCCAAGGACAGCAGAGAAGCCAACTTAATAGCAGTCCATCTTAAATCAATTTTAGCATTATCAAAAGAATTTAGGAAATTTAATAAGACATCTACATCCCAAGTAGATGTGTAGCGTGGGGTATATGGGCGGAAGACGGATAACCCTTTTAGTAATCTCAAATACAGGGCATCCTGAGTAAGGTTGGGGATCAGGAAGCTTAAAGCAGATCCATAGGTCCTGATTGAACTGACAGATAAACCAGAATGGAACTTAAGGGTAAGAAATTCTAAATGGAATGGTATCAGATCCCTGTGTGTTAGACAGAAAAGAAACCTCCCATTCTTTGAATTCCCCGATCATCTTTCTATATCTTACCCTAGTTCTACGTCTTAAAAATTAGTTAATAATATCCAAGACCTGATCCGATAAAAGGGGAAGTGTTAACAGCCTACCAGGGCTGCGATCCACATCAGCTGCGGGAGCTTGAGCAGAAGATTGCTGGTTCCCTAAAAGCAGTCCACTGTCATGCCCAATGGGATCTTGGTTCCCTTGACTAACTGATGGATCAAGGGTTACCAGGGTCTGGAGGTCCATACTGGATAAACGAGAACTAAGCTCTGCACCCTGTCCCTGTGGATCTTCTCCAGCACTTTCATTAGTAAAGATGGAGGGGGGGGGGAAGCATAAGGGGCTGGAACATCCGTCCACTGGAAAGACATTGCATCCATTTTCCAAGCTCCCTTTGTCCAGGTCCGGGAGACGAACCTGGGAGTTTGTGCAGATGTTTGGAATGCAAACAGATCTACCTGTCTCTGGTAAAAATTGCTTTCTATCCGTTGGAAAAGAGCAATCTTTAATCTGCCAACTCTATCTTCCCTTGACTTAAAGCTAAGGAAAGGGAGGCATCTAGCACTGGGTTCACCTCTCTGTGGGGTGAAAATTTCTGGACTGGTAACCTTAAAAAGGTGAGTTGTAAACCCCTTTGAAAAATCTTTAGAACCCATTTGTCTGAAGAAATATCCTTCCAATTTAGTGGCATATGAGGAGACACACTTACTTGAATGCATGTGTTTTCTTTTGGAAGCTGAACCGCCTCTGGAATGCGCTCCTCTACCACCGCCCGGGAGCTTGTGTCTTCCACTGTAGTGGCGGTACTGAGCCTGGTGAGAGGCTTCTCGGGACACTCCTGCAGCCCTAGAGGGGCGACCCTCTGTCCGAAAGGGCTTTTGTGTAGCCAGGGACGGACTTCTTGAGTTCTGAAAAGGATCTCCTTGCCTTGTAACGGCCTTTAACCTCCTGAATGAACGAGGGCCCGAATAGGTAAGAATCCTCCAAATTTGGGAACTCATGCGATTTGGGGGCTAGGTCGGACAGACTTGCTGCATGGAGCCAGCGGGATCTGCGGATGTTTGATATGTAATTAAAGGATTGGCCAATAATTAGTACTGCCCTGCCAGATGCTTTTAAAAGAGCCATCTTAGATGCCAACAGAGATGAAGCAGAAGGTTTCTGAGCATTGCCTTCTTTTTCTGCCTTATCCAGCATCAGTAATAGTGGGCCCACAGCATCAGCAATTTTGAACTGTATATTGCGAAAAGTCTGGTCTGTGGGATTAGAGGATACGCTGATGATAGATAACAGAGCAGGATCTACCTCTGGGGCCATTAAAGCTGGGATACCAATGTGGTTCCTGAGGAGAAGGTCATCCTCCTTAACCAAGGAGAATCTGAAGGCTAGTTTAGCGAAATCTCTAACCTCAGAATCGTGCTCTATAGCCCATCTGGAGTGAAATAATTTTGATGGGAGAGTCTTTCCTAGGAGACTTACTCTGGCCATCTGAACATTGCTTAGCTTCCCTCGCTGAACGTACCACTTCCTCGGATTCCCAGTCTATTTCTGGAGAGCCATATCTTGAACTGGAACGGCTTTGGGAGGAAGAGTGAGCAAACACTCTAGAAGAGGAAGGAGAGGGACTATCTAACCTCCAACGAGATTTGTCCTTTTTCTCTGGAAGGTGTTTCTGGTGCTCAAACAAGGGAAACACGCTATTACTTTTTTGGGGTCCTGTCCCCTTAATTTTACGCTTACTCAAACGAGTATGAGGGGAAGGATGAGCAGAGAAGTTTTCCTCAGATGAGGAACTAGCGGAAGAGACCAGCCGCCTTCCTTTATTCTTTTTACTTAAAACTGGGACCAAATCCTCCTCAGAAGATGAAGAGGATAGATCCCTGGCAAGGAAAGCTCTCTTATGGAGCTTTCTAACATTGATGGGGCTGCCTTTAAGAGAGGCATCCACTAAATCTGTGGCAGACACAGAAATAGAGTCCTCCATCAATGATGCCATTTTAAAAATCTGAGGCAATCCCGAGCTCAGCACGGCTCTCCTGATTACCTGATTGGCTGTTGCTGTGCAGATGCACAGCGCAAGCCTTTTCAACTCTGGCATATGACTCCGGGAGGCTGCAGCATACCCACTAGCTTTGCTAGGTGGTTATGCCTCCCGCAGGACAAAGATGGGGATCTACATTTTGGCCACTTTACACACACTGCATCAACTACACTAACACATTGCATTCACTACACACACACACTGCATCCTTGTGGTCAGTCTCAGGGGCGGGCCCATGGGTAGACTCAAAAGGGCAGAACTTGAGCTATGTCAGGGGGCCCTAATTTATGATGGCAGCCCTGCTTCTACACATGTGAATCATATTTTGTTGTGTATCATTAAAATGCCTGTGTGGTTTCACATAGGTTGGGTAGACCACTACCAAAATTAGGGAACACTTGTCTAAATACCACTCTGAAATTCAAACTGGAAAGTCTAATTATTATTATTATCACCATTTATATAGCGCCAACAGATTTTGTAGCGCTTTACAATATTATGAGAGGGGGGATGTAACTATAAATAGGACAATTACAAGAAAACTTATAGGAACAATAGGTTGAAGAGGACCCTGCTCAAACGAGCTTACAGTCTATAGGAGGTGGGGTATAAAACACATTAGGACAGGAATATCAACCAAATAAGGTGGGAGTGAAGCAGAGCTGGAGGAGAGAGTAAAGTGCTGCCCTATAGGAGAGAGCAAGAGACAGGTATGTGAGGTAAAGATTAATCTGGGAGGCCATAAGCTTTCCTAAAGAGATGGGTTTTAAGGCACTTCTTAAAGAATTGAAGACTAGGGAAGAGTCTGATGGGGGTAGGCAGGCTATTACATAGAGAGGGAGCCGCCCGCGAGAAGTCTTGCAAGCGTGAGTTGGCCGTATGGGTGCGAGCAGCGGTCAGGAGATGGTTATGGGCAGAGTGGAGGGAACGAGGAGGGGCATACATATGGATCTGTGAAGAGATATAACAGGGGCTAGAATTGTTCAGTGCTCTATATGTATGGGTTAGCACTTTGAATTGACACCTATAGGATAAACCAGTCCCTGCACGTTTTGAACACAAACACACAATTTCCTAGTTAAAATGGTCAATCATTGACTGTCCGCATACAAACTAGAGGGCAACCCCTTATTATATTTTCCATATCATTTTATGTTATGGATCTATTTTCATCTGTATGCACTAATATAGTTGTTTCTTTTTCTGTAAGGTATCAAGTGTGCCTTTTGTATTGTGGTTTTCTGCCTTGTAGTATATGTGCTGGATATATTTGAATTGGATTGCTATATAGTATCCAATTAAAAAGAAACTATAGTGCCAAGAAAACAAAGTTGTTTTCCTGGCACAATAGCTCCCTATAGTACCCCCTCTCCATGGTGCAGAAAGTTAAAAAACCCTTCTGTCATTGGCGCTGGTTCAGGCTCCACCTCCTTTCCTCCTCCGCCGGCTGATGGCTATTAGGACTTTCACCATAGCAAAGCATTGTATAATGCATTCCTATGTGGTCCTAATGCAGAGTGTGAGGACGTCTAATGGCACGGAAGACACTCTAGTAGCTGTCAGGTAGACAGCCTTTAGAAGTGGAGTTAACCTTTAAAAGGTAATTATTGCAGTTTATTAAATACTGCTATATTTACCTTTGCAGGGATAAGGGATCTGGGACACTCCACCCAGACCACTTCAATGAGCTGAAGTTTGAGTGTCTATAGTGTAGCTTTAAGTGCCTGTTTGCACTGGAAACTTTGAATAGCTACATGTGTCTTTTTTCATGCAATATTATATAATGCAGGAAACACATTTGCCAATATTGTTGCAGCCAAATTATTATATTTTTGAAGAACATACTATACTTTTCTTACTGTGATACAGTTAATTGACTTTTGTATCTGTGTATTTTCTTCATATTTTGATATTTTATTGTGTCTCTCTTTATTTTCTATTTTTGGTAATGGTTAACTTCTCAGTTCAATATATGCCTCATATTTAGGGAGTTACTTCTTATGGGTATTTAAGCTGTACATTGTATTTTGGAACCTAAGCTTGACAAAGATCCTGAAGTTGGGTCGAAACGTTGCCAGTTCCACGCAATTGGAATAAATTACTTTGATATTTACTGTTGGTGTTGCGGCTCCTTATTGATTTATTTCTGGTGCACAATATAAACTTTAAGCGGTCGTCAACCCTTTCCCATTTAGATAGCTCCATGTTGTCAGGAGTTGGATTGTGCAGCCTGGCTCCCGGTGGGTCCTTTTCCATTGGGAATCTGTGGTAAGGCGATGTCTGAGATAGAGATATGAATCCTTACATTCAATTTCACTTTTTCGTGCTATGCAGATATCAAGCTATACATAGATCTATCCTCCCACACTATGTTAAAGAGAAACGCTTTTGCTCCCATTATCAGATCATTAAGAAGAGAATAATAGAATGTATAAATAGGGAATCCCAGTAAAGCTCATTGTAAAAAAAAATAAAATGGAGTGGACCAAACTATTTCCTCACCAGAGGAAGAAACATAGCCTTCGATACGAAGATTTCATCCAATGCAATGCTCCCCTCCATGGGTTCCAAAGAACTGGCACCCTTTGCTATAGACGAGTTAGTAAAGGGAATAACTAGTATGTCTAACAAATCTAAATTAGCAAACCTTTCCTATAGAGTTGGCACCTAATATAACCACTTTGTTTAACAAGATCTTCTCCGCGGGAGCTTTGCCTTAGGAGATGCTTAGAGCCCATATTACAATCCTACCTAAAAATAGAAAGACACCCACCCGGTGTTTCAATTTTAGACTCTTCTCTCTATTTAATAGCTACACTAAATTGTACACTAAGATGATTGTCAATGGACTATCAATAATCTTGCCCTCTATAATAAACAACGATCAATCAGGGTTTGTTTAAACAACTCCAGGAAGATGCTCAACATCCTGTCCCAACTCAACAGAACCAACAAAGAGGGCCTCTTATTGGCTTTAGATGCTACAAAGGCCTTCAAGAGGCTTAACTGGACATATATGACCCGGTCTTGGCCAAAGTTGGCTTCCCACACCACATAATATCAGGGATAATGGCCTTATGTAAATTTGCCAATGTCCTCAATGTTAGCTTCTTATCAGTGCCATTCCATATTGAATGGTTTACATCTTGGCTGCCTTTTGTTCCCTCTCTTTTTCTTACTTTTGCTTGCTTAGTGCAGACACTCAGGCATCACCCAGATATTTATGGCACTGATATCGATAACAGACTACATAATTTTTTGCAGACGACAGAATACTGGTGCTGAGTGCTCCGTGCAAATCTCTACCGACAGTCTTGTTGACCCTGTCGTTTTATTGGCAGTTGTCATACTATAAGCTAAACCTAACGAAGGCCCATGCTATGACTATAATTCTCTGTCAATCTTTGGTGACAGACCTTAGAAATAGATTAATAGATGTAATGTTGAATAGAAATCCTCACATATCAGATACCTAGGAATGAACTTGACAAAAGTCAGTACATACTATATTCAAATATAACCACAAACCCCTCCTACATCAGTGTAAGAGGTAGCTGTCCTGCTGGAAACACATTCCTATATCTTGGGCTGAATAAATACTGTTAAAATGACGCTATTACCACATATTTTATTTGTTTTCCATTTGTTATCCATTTCACTGCCTCCCTCACACTGTAAAGACTTACAACGCATATCATATC